TTGTGTTTGTTACTATTTAAAATTCTTGCCGGTGAAAGCTTCCAACTTGGAGCCACGAGATAATTTCCAATTTATCAAATAAAATAACGTACATATTTTTACAGCTGTGGAAAACATTGAAAAAAGAAAAATTACAGAATATTTTAAATCTATCATTAGTTTTTAGCAATTCAAAAAATCATTATTAAGAAATGAATTCTTCAGCTTTCTTTTATTTTGATTTAGAAAATAATTATCCTCCACTTATTTGAATTTATCATATCAAATCTGAGCTCCGTCCAATATTAATTTTGGTGAATTTTGTGTATTAATTAATATTTTTATTACAATTATTATTTTAATATTTCATAATCATTTTCATTCTAGAAGAATATAAAAAAATGAGCCATAATTCTGATGGATTCCAAAAAAAATTAATGAAATCCTGAAGAACAGATTGTGTCATAAAACGCACAAGCCAACAGGAGACAAACCTGCAAAACGACCTGTTTAAGAGATTTTGAAAACTTTCCTTACTAAGTAATTTGCACACGAAACTTGCGACCGCCGAAACTTTGCACCTGCGTTTCGGAGCAACAAGACGAAGAAGAAGTGAAGAGGCAGAGAAGAAAAGGGGCGTTCTAAAAATTCTAATGCAATTTGCTCCTCATTTTCGGCGCAGGACTTAAATCTACTTTAATCAGCAGCCAGAGCACAAGAGAATTTGAGCTGCCTCGCTGCATTCATACAAGATTATGTTATTTCTCTGTGTACGTGTAGAGCTACTTTGCCGCTTCCGACGCTTCTCTCTCTACACACCAGTGTGTGTTCTATTCTGCTTCATAAAGCAGCAGCAGCACCGCCAGCAGTTCTCACGGAAACAAAAACACCGAAGAAGTAAATAAAGCGCGGAACACAAGGCTAGCTACAGATACTCCAGGGAAATTAGTAGCTGCAGCGGCTGCTAAGGCATCGGTTTGCAAATTTATCTATGTACGCGAGCGCTCACTTCGGACGTGCGTCCGACACTTGATCAAATTAAATATCAACTTGTGAGCGCGCCCATCCATATTTCACGCCTTTCTTTCGTTTCCGTTGCTGCAGGATTGGCTGCACGTTTCCTCCGCTCGCCGACAAAATAAATTCATAAATAAGAAAAGTGACGTGCCGACGGATCATGATTTACGCGCCTGCCGCGAGAGGTGATATTAAATTGGTTTCAATTATCGCGTTAAACGCATTAGCCAACCGCTGTTTGCCGCTGAACGGCGCGAATAAATTCCAGGTGCGTTTCCAAACCGCCGTTTGCTCGCGCGCAAATGATAAATATACACAAGCATCCATTTCGGAATTAACGCCAAAGAGAGCGGCTGCACCCGGTGCCGATTGAAAAAAATTGGCAAAACAAAATTGAGCCGGTTGTATAAATATATAAAATTGGCAGTCAAAGAGCAGACCGTTTTTTGCACCGCGGCAGCAAAAAAGTGTGACTGCAGATGGAAATTTCCATATCAAAGGGCGAAAATTGCAATTACAAAGTAATAAAAGAGTGGCGAAACTGCATCGTAATAAATTTTAATCACACGCTCGCTGCTCCACTTCTGTTTCATCAGCCGGCTCATCAAAAGAGCGGAATCACATCTTAATTTATGATCCATATTAATTGAGTCTTAAACGCTTTGATGATCAGCGCCAGCGTAATGAGATACTCAAAATTTATCAATGCTAGAAAAAAAATTGAAAATTCTAATAAAAAATATGTTTAATTCCATGAAGTAGTAAAATAGAAAATATAATTCATTGAAATAAATAAAAATAGCACATATTATTTTGCCATTTTAGTAAATTTAAACAAATGACAAGTCGATTTTTATTACTCGCGTGTTAAATTTTTTCAAATTCATATCGGAAGATTTATTTCCATCGAAGAAGTATTTGCATGCAAAGTCCTCGTTGAAACGCATAAACGCCCATTAATTAAAGCTACATAATTAATTGCTGCCCGGACTGGGAGGGAGCGAAAAAAATTAATCAAGTGTCTGCTGTGCGGGGGAGAAGGGGGTGAAGGTGATTCGGCGAATTAATGATTTTTGCGCGTTTGCAAATGAAGTAATTAATGGTGAAGCAAAAAACGATGGGTTATCTCGGGCGCGCTACTTTGTTGTTGAAGCGCGCGGGCACGTGTGAATAATTAATTTGCGTATTTCGAGAGCGCTCTCCGCTCGCAGTCTGGGGGATTTGGTCTTATTTGCCGAGATTTGCTGCTCGTCGTCGTCGTTCATAATTCATTCGGCCGGCCGGGATTAAATCGGGAGGACTTTGTTTGTCGCTCCGAGCAAAGGTAAACCCCGAAATGACACATTTCCCATGTTAACACGTCGCAACGATATCGCCCAGATCTAATTTGGAATACGCATGCTTAACTGCGAGCGTGTCGAAAAGTTGCGGTTGCATATGCGCGCCGGGGCAAGTTGGCGCGATGACGACGATAATAATAATAAACATAAAAAGGCACTCACCTTATCAAGAAAATTGCGTTTGTTCATGGCGGCGAGAGCAGCAGCCGCAGCATTGTGGTCAGCAAACTCGACGAAGGCGTAAGGATCATTTCCAGGCTGCAAATAAAACAAAACAACGCATGACAATAACAGCATTTTCTTTTCAACAGGGGCTCGGGGTGCTTTTTTGCGGAGGCCTGCGGACGAGGCGAAATTGCTTGGCGCGGCTGTGCTTATTTCAGACTCACAAACACATATCTGCTTACTGGACTGGCGCAAATCTTGCATTCTACCCTTGTTTCAACTAATTCCACCGCAAGGGAGGGGCTTTCTTTAGAATGCGCTCTGGATTTCTTAAACAATTTTAGTTTCATTCCTCAAATTATATTAATATTTAAATTCAATTTTATGTGTAAATGTTATATATTCAAAACATTTTTCCTATAGACAGATATTTTAATTTTTATTTAAACCAAATTACCATTGATTTATTCTTCACAAATCCAGTAAAAAATATCTCTATTAACACTGGGTGGAAAAATGAAGTATTTTTTGCGATTTTTTGCAAGAGAGGGAATAGCTCAGTTGACAAAAACATTATTAAAGAATGAAAAAAATCATTTGAAAGTCTAAAATGCAACTTTTAATATGAATTTGATACAGGACAATTATTATTATATTTTTATTCCTTAAATTATAACTAATATTTAAAATTTATGTTAACCATTAGTGTAAATTTGTAAGATTTTTCTTTTTCATAGATATTTGAATTAAATCAAATTACTAGTGTTTTATTCTTTAAAAGTCCTGTCACAAATATCTCTATAACAAAATATTTTTGCAAGAAAGGGAAAAGGTCGAAGGAAAAAAAACCTAAATGAAGAATGAAAAAAAAATCTTTTGAAAGTCAAAGATGCATTCTGTAAATTTTAGTTTGATAAAAATAAGCAATAAATATAAAATTTCTCATAATGTCTAAATTATCAACGGTGCTAGTTAGTACCGGTTGGTTTATAGAAAAATCTCTGCGAATCAACTTTCGCCGGCACACCTAAAGTAAGCTGAGGGAACAATAATTAGCACATCCGCGAAGATAATTCACTTGAATTTTTATATTCAGTACCGCCTCACCTCTACAAATCAAAAAGCATCAATGAACACAACTTTCTTCTTCAATATTATAATTACACGTTCCAAAAAAATCTTACCAATCAAACATTTACGATTTTAATTTAACTCTTGAGCATTAAAAAAGTGAAAAATCGGTTGCGCTGGTCGGCGTCGCGCAACGGTGGTAAATTAAAAGCGTCATTGACCATTTAGCCGAATAATGAGCACGGCGAAATTGATTTTTGAAAAAGGGCGCGTTGACATTCAAGGGTGGCTGAGGCGGAGCGAGTGCTTTTATATTTTTTGGTCTGCAAAAGATAGAGAGTGGAAAACTGGGTGCGAGGGACGGTCGGGAGGCACATTTACCAACACTTTGCTGCGCAAAGATAAAATTCTGCGTCTATTATTTGGCACGAGAGAGGAGCAAAGGCGAGGCAGGCACGAGATGCCACGGTGCTGAAGTGGATGAATATGATACATCAAAGAGCAGCGCGCAAACCCTCCTTGCCTCGCGTGGATCAACTGTATAGAATTACAGGAATTTAACAACAAAGCTGCCGTTTGCTGGCTGCAGGAACCGAGTCGTTAAACTCCGTCGTATGCATATTTTTCGGCAACACCGACCAACCAACCAAGCCCCACGCTGGCGTGTCATGTTCTCGCTCTCTCCGTGTTTATTGATTCGACGCCACTTTCCCGCAGAATTATTAAGCAGTCTTCGGTCGGGGCGACCTGCCGCACAGGTGGTTGGTTCGTCGGTCCCCCATTTTAATCCGCAGCGGCCGGGTGGACCGAAAGTCAAATAATATCTTTATGCAAGAGGCACCCCTTCCATCAAAACTTTGGAGAGAGAGAGAGAGATCGAAAGTTGAACGAGAGAGGGTGCCGAAATAAACTGGTGTTGATGCACGCGGCGCCTATTTTTCATTTATATTGGGGCATTAAAGCTAATAATTTTCGAGTGCAAGCCAAGAGCGACGGTGTGGGCGCGCGAGCGAGTCATTTGCAGGCGATATTTGACATATGGCCGTGCCGCGGGGGGAGAGCGAGTGCACTTTCATGCAGATTATGTATGCCGCTGACGGACGACTAGATGATAATAAAATTTGAGCTGCGGCCATAACGCTCTATTGCAGTGCAGATTTACCAACTCGCGCCGAAGGAGAGATCAATATTGTGATTATGGAGCAATTTATAAACGGGCTCTGACTTATCAACGCCATTACGCCAAATCGATCGGCGCCTCATGCAAATATCGATGTGGCTCTGATTTATTTACGGAGCGCGCTGGAATAATTAAAATTTATAGGCGTGCATTAGGCCACCAAGTTTTATTGCTTTGGAATTTGCACACGCGAATTTTTTGTTCGCACGCTGACGCATGGGCTGTGGACGAAAAAACACAAATATGCGAATGTTTATATAAATATAGTCTTTATTGTTATTTGGATGGCAATATAAGTTTATTGAAATATAAACTGATATGAACTGCATTTTAATAAAACTTACGACCTGCGGTTTCTACTTCTATTCAGTTGGATTTATTTATTATTAGTGAAGCAACGCTTTTCCAATAATTTTCGGACAAAAATACATTTCTATCTTGAGCAATTTCACTGCAACAAAACACGTACAAAATAAACTTGTCAAAATTTCTTTTCCATACAATCCACGAGAAACAAGACACAGCAAGCCCTAAACACAGTGCATACCTATTTCATGAAATAGGAGTAATGTCCCTAAAATCCCATTTAATTGCTTTATTTATAAAATAACACATTCTTTATTCCACATTGACTCATTCAATTGTAAGTTATTTTCAACATTGATCGCAATGGATTGATAATCAATAAATAATATTCATGATGTCGAAAACAAAAATACAATTGCACATGCACAAAAAAATGGCAAGCGCTCAATCTAGCAAACACTACGAAGAGGAAGTGACGACTGAGGTCGATGTGCTGACTTCTGCAGCCGTCGTGGAGCTCGTTGCTGGAGTAGTAGTGGTAGCTTGGGTGCTGGGGTGTTGCACGTGAGTAAGTTGGGCGATAATTTCTCTCTGATCTGTCGCAGCGACATTCAGGTCATGATGCTCAGAGGCAGCAAATCGCAAGTCGGACAAACTGTTAATATCGTGTATAGGCGAAACCTCGATGTTATGGCCGTTGCTGCCACCCTGGCCCCTTTGCTCAATGGCTGCGAGAACGTCTTTCAATAAGTCTTGAGAGAGGATCTGCTCGTGAGGGATTTCGGGGTTGTGCGGTGAGCCGCCAGAGGCTTGCACCTGCAGGGTGTACGTTCCGTGCTCTCCTTTGATGGGGATCTCTTTGTGTGAGGGGGCGTGGTTGGATGGCACATTAATATCACGCTGGTGGTCTTGCACGTGATGCTGTTGTTGTTGCTGCTCAAATTGCGCTTGGAAGTTGCCCGGGGGTTCAGCGAATTGTCCGCTGGGACCGAAGTTTTGAGTGTCCTGGGGAACACCGTACGACAAAAGCGGCTCAGCAAAATTTCCGATAGTGATGGCAGGGGCACCAGGAGCCCCAGGGCCGGTCAAACCGAAATTTTGTACAGTGTAGGAAGTGACCTGTCCAACATGGGCAGCATCGCCAAAGGCAGGGGGAACGGCGAACAAATTGTTGCCTGGGTCAGGCACTGCCGGGGGCAGGTAGGTGTTGCCTGGTTGCTTTTGGACGGAGTGACCTTCCTGGTTAGCCTGTGCGGAAACAGCGATGCTCTCTAAAAGTCCATCAGGCACTGGAGGACGGAACTGCACGGGAACTTTGGGAGGATTAATGTCAAGTCCTGTGTCCTGTCCAGCAACAGTGTAAGCTACTTGAGGAGGCCCGTAAGAGTTTTGGGGAGGTCCTGGAGGTGGAGGTGGTCCATAAGAGTCTCTGGGAGGTCCGTAAGATTCCTTGGGAGGGGGAGGAGGGCCGTAAGAGTCTCTAGGGGGTCCGTAAGATTCTTTAGGAGGGGGAGGTGGGCCGTAAGAGTCCTTAGGTGGCGGGCCATAGGTATTCTTTGGCGGTGGACCGTATGAATCACGAGGAGGTTGGCGAGGAGGAGGACCGTACGAAGAGGAAGGGCGCTTGTGGTGCGGTCTAGGATGATGGTGCTTGGGTGGGGGTCCATAGGAGGTTATAATCTGTTTTGGTGGTGGGCCATAAAGATTGGAAGGAGGAGCGGAATTTCCTTTGCTGGGTGGACCATAAGAGGTACTGATTGAGGGGGGTGGTGGCCCGTACGAATCTTGCGGGGGTCCTTCAACAGAACCACCAATTCCAGCAACAGCCTTGGCGCCATGGAGGTGAGAAACGAGACCAGGCATGGGCTTCCATCCATCATACATAATCCTTGGCTTCGTTGGTGGACTGTCGACGCCAGGGGGAGGTCCTGACAGAGGTTCCGGATCCAGAGGTCCAGGTTTTCGGTGCTCTTTAGGAGTTCTAACATCAGAAACAATAGGAGCTCCGTAAGAAGAGCTTGGCGCAGAGGGTGGTGGACCATAAGAAGAGCTTGGTGCTGACGGGGGAGGGCCATATGAAGTGCTTGGTGCAGATGGAGGTGCTCCGTATGAAGAGCTAGGGGGAAGAGGTGGTGGTCCATATGAAGTTATGGGGGCTGGAGCCGATGGTGGAGGACCATAAGAGTTGCTTGGTGCCGAGGGTGGAGGACCATAAGAGTTGCTTGGTGCCGATGGTGGAGGGCCGTAGGAATTGCTAGGTGCCGAGGGTGGAGGGCCGTAGGAATTGCTAGGTGCAGATGGGGGAGGTCCGTACGAATTGCTGGGTGCAGATGGAGGAGGTCCATATGATTGAGCCGGTGCCGAGGGAGGAGGACCAAAGTCATTACTAGGAGCACTTGGTGGAGGGCCGTATGAGTTGCTTGGAGGTGCAGGAGGAGCTCCGTAATTTGAGCTGGGAGCTGATGGCGGTGGGCCGTGAGCCGAGCTTTGAGGAGCAGGTGGTGCTCCATATGATGAGCTGGGAGCTGAGGGAGGGGGGCCGTAATTTTTGCTAGGTGGGGCTCGAGGAACTCCATAAGAAGTGCTAGGAGCAGATTGTGGTGGTGGACCATACGAGTTGCTGGGACCCGAAGGTGGTGGGCCATAAGAATTGCTAGGGGGTGGAGGAGCTCCGTACGATGAGCTCGGGCCGGAGGGCGGTGGGCCGTACGAGTTGCTTGGCGGCCTAGGAGGTGGAGGAGCTCCATATGAGTTACTCGGACCAGAGGGTGGCGGACCATACGAATTGCTTGGCGGAGGAGGGCCGTAATTGGGCCTTGGCGGTCTGAACTGAGGAGCTGCTGGCAAGTGGTTGTGGAAATTGCTGGCCGTGATTATGTTTGCCTCGGGCACTTGCTGCGGGCCGCTGCTGAAATCTTGCTGGGGCGGGCCGTTTGATGGAGTAAGCGGAGGGCAGTCTCCAGCGGCTCCGTGCACGTGATTGTGCGACCCAAAATTATTTTGTTCCGGTGGGCTGTGGAAATTCGGCGGTGGCCCATATGAGGGCTTTGGTGGCCTCCTTGGTGGTCCGTAACTTTGCCTGGGTGGCCCATGCGACTTTTGCGGTCTTGAAGGTGGGCCATAGGACTGGCGAGGGGGTGGGCCAAACTTCGGCGGTGGACCGTAAACAGGGGGTCCGTGACCACCGGCTTCAGCTACGAGGTCATTCAGCTCCAAGTCTTTGTCTACTTTTTCATCCTCATTGATGTGTTCGCTATCAGCTGATGCGAGTGCAAGCGCTCCAAAGAAAACCAGCACGAAAACCTGTGGAGAAATAAAACACTTTAGTTCACTTTCAGACTAGATTTTTTTTTCTAAATAACAACTCGGCAGAGCAGACGAGACTGAAAGTCATGCGATTCAACACCACTTGTGTGAAGGGAAAAATAAACCGGTCACGATTTACTTCGCATTGCTGGCACGGTTACTGCCAATGGCTAATTGCGACTCGTGCTTTATTCTTTTTATTGAGAATGAACAGGAAAATATTTTACTTTCTTTTAAATCCGTTGCGCTGTTTATTTAATATTTCTCTTCACGCAACCATTTTAATTTAAATAAAAGATCGTGTGAAAAGCTAATTCTAAAAATTTAAATAAATACTTAAATGAAAGGCGGTAAGAAATGTGCATGTGACTAACTCAAAAATATCTCCATCAGACGTGAAACTGATTGCGTTGAATAAATAGTACTATTTATTTTACTAAAAATTTAAATTTATTATATTTCTTATCGCCCCGCCAAGTTGGCAAAAAAACGAGAAAAGTTCTTAATGAACGATCAATTAATGAACGAGAACGAAACGCTCGCATCTGTTGAAAGCAGCAGTAAACACGGAGCTAATGGAGAAATAGGTGTAGAGAAAACCACATCTTTTTGAAGAGGTCAGTAGCACAGAGGGGCCTCAGCATTGACCTTCTAAGATGCAGACTTATGAATATTTACGGCCAGCGGCAATGTGAACAGCCGCGCGCCGCAGCTTCTTCTTTCTCTCTTTCTAAAAAAGACGATAAAAAAACTCGTTTTAAGACGCTCGTGCATATTTCACACGACCAAGTACAATTGAATCCGCGCGCGGGAGAGCATTATTCATAAAGTACACTAACAATTTTTCCCTCTCTCGGATAAATAAACTCCCATACTTTCACTATGGCACTGCATATCATGAATTAGAAATGAAATAACCTGCTCTAATCCATTATTACTGGGGCTTATTTAATTTTATCCAGATTTTATTAACATACAATAAAATACACTTTCATTGAGCGCGCCGGCAAAGCCACAATAACGACCCACCAGGCATTTAATTCCAGGCCAGCAGTTAAATTGTGTTGCTTGCCGGGCGTCAGATTCCGAAAGTTTACTCATCCGCGTCGAGAGGCAGTCCATTTTCATTGCGAACAAAAGTGTGGCACCGCTTAGCTGTGCATAAATTTTTCACAATGCGCCACTTGATGATTTACGTGTTAAATTTAATATTTGCCTTACAGTCTACTTGGCACGCCTATCATTGTGGCTCATCGTTTCGTCGGACCACACCAGTCTGGGCCACGCGGAACGAGCCGGAAGTTTGTAAAACAATTAAATAATGCACATTCTGAGCGCTTAAGGTATCGCGAGAGATATTCATCCGAGTACATGATTATTATTATTCGGCCGAGCGCTATAAAAGGCGCGCATCGGTGTAGCGAGAAGTGCCAGCAGGAATATAATAAGCAGGTCAATGTGTGTAAGATTGGACTCTCACAATAATAACGGTCCTTGTCACCCAGACATCTAAACACCGAATGCGAAAGAGAAACAACGACAGCATCACCAGGCGCGCGGCCGTATAATTGTTTTTAGAGGAACTGCTGCTTTTATTTTTATTCTTCCAAGTGAGCGGGAAATGTATTTATGAGACGTAATAATAATCGTGCTCATAATTATGTTGTTAAATGTTACAATTTTAGTGTTTGGTTGTGTTCCTGTTACGTCTCATTTCTGTTTGGCGGTAATAAAATAATAATTCTAATTAGGGCAAGCTAAATATTGACGAACAAAATTAAAAATACTTGCACGTGAGAAGATTTCAGATTTGCTGTTCAGTGGTGTTATTTCAATTTAAAATTAATTCATGCAAGTGCACGAAGCGTGTTGACATAATTTAAACTTTGGTTTTTGGACCGAAAAGGCGTGGATATTAACTATTAATAACTGCGATGAGTGACGACATATTCCATTAAAGCTTAATTCAAAATACACGCGAATTAATTGAACTCAAATTACTCGCTTCAATCATAAACGAGCACCGAGAGAAATCACGTTTAGCGCCGCAGCGATATTATCGTCTATGACGCGAGTGTCAATGCTAAGGCCGTTTGTGATGCACAGAATTAACCCCGCGGTCGGAAACATGATGCAGATTAACAATTCCATACAGCTCGAATGGAAATTATTGGCAGCGCGACTGAAAGGAAAAATGCTTTCCACTCATAATTGGAATGAAATCAAATAAGCTCAAAGTTGGCTTTAAAAAAATAATAATAAATTAAAAATATAAACGAGTTTTTATCTGGTCCTATCCATTTGGTAATTGTTGTAGAAAATTTTATAATCCTGCGTGATGCTCAATAAAGTAATCAAGAAAAGTACTTTCAGTCTAGTCTCGTAATAAGCTCTGACGAGTTGAATGATCAATGAAAAAAGGATAATTTATAAAAACGTGATTCTTACCTGCTTCATTGTGCTGGTCAGGTAATTCCAATTAAAGGCGATTCAACGACACTGGATTAGCCTGCACTCACTGCCTATCTCTTCATTGGACTGAATGAAAAGTGCAACTAAAGAGAGACGTATCCTCTGAGCGATTAAAGACACACACCACTACTCTCCTCCGAGCTATGATTAAAAACCCTTCATTTTGATTCTAACTTATGTTTTATACCAGGCCACTCCAAGTCCTGCCCACCTGGGTCCACCGCGCTGCGTTGCTTATGGAGAAAGAGGGGGGCGCCGGCAACAATGAGAGGAGGATTTTTATCGAAAGTAGTCCACATCCTCGCCAGCGATGATGCTCCTTGTAAATAATCTTGGCGCAAGAGCCAACGCTCGGCAGAGAAAGAACCTAGGATAGCAAGAATGAAAGCACAACCTTTCTTTCAACGCAGCATTGATTTACGCCGATATTCGATTTTGCTTTTGCACGGGGTGTTCAATTTCAGAAATTTCTTTTCCCCTTTTTCCAGTTCATGCGATGCTGTGAATGCATCAGATCGTAGTTTGCATTATAAGCTTTCTCTAAATTCTTCAACAAGAGAATAAATTTCATCGATTTTATAAGATGATATCATCAGAGAGGAATTCAAGGATAATTTTTCGCTAATATTCTTGACATAATTTTAATCGCTGGAGATAAAAATAAATAAAAATGTAGAAACACTAATTTGTTTATATTTTTTTGGGAAAAAATGCTTTTATAAATAAATTTTTACTTTTTCTTTGAAATTATTTCTTTTTGCAATCAATAAGTTTAAGATAATACAGAAGATAATGTTAAAGAAATTTAAATATGGAATTTTCTTGAATTTTCTTCACGCATTCCTTTTTAAAATCAAGCAAAATTACCTTACGTGAACATAGAACATAGCAAGCATATTTTTGCAACAAAATTTAATATTAAATATTATGAATAATCTGAATGTGAAAAGACAAACTATTTTTAACGTGAACTCAATTTCAATTTAAGATGGAAATATAATTTTCTAAAATTATTTAATATTTCATTTCAGCAATAAACTTATCAAATTAGTTCCAGTTCATGAACTTTAGTAGTAGTTTACTTAGCCGCAATATCATAATTTATTATAGAACGATTTTTTTACACCCAAATCAGCAGAATTAAGAAATTGAAGAATAGCCCATTTTTAATCAAACAATAAAAATATTGATCTAATAATATGAGGACAAAATTTAAAATTTAATTTATTATTAATGCAAAAATATTGAAAAAAAAACTATACTTACTATACTTACTTATTGTTAGATTAGAAAAAATTTAAAAAAAAAACTTGATTTTGTTCTCAGAAAAGCTTTGCGTGCGTTTATACTTAAAATTTAAATGCAATTTACTTAAACTGAATTTTTCAACACTTTCATTACTTAGAGTTGTTGAGGTACGAAAGCAGATGAATTGTTTGTAAACGCGTGGAAATGGTCCCAAGAAATTTACACGAGGTCCTTATCTAAAACTATGTGCGATTCTTTCACATTTTAACATTAAAAGTGAAAATGTTTGTGCAGTCTTTTCATGATAATGCGTCTCCTTTCAAAAAAACCAACCGCCCGGCGATGAAAGGTGCTTTGAAAAGAAACTGACGCTTTTCAATTTCAAGAACAAAAACTGACAAATGGATTTTCCGCGCTTCTAGGGAAAGTGTTGGTTATCCTTGGATTTCTCCCTAATGGTCGGTGGATGTGTGTGTGTGTTCGGCCGGCGCCGCACGCACCGCTCTTTACAATAAATTGGCTGCGGCTGCATGCAAGTCGGAATTAAGGTAATGATGTTCTCCGATCTACATTTGCAGTCGGAGCTGCTAATTGAAATAAAGCCATCGCAGACGGCGTTCTTCTCCGGTGCGCTCTCCTTTTAGCAGATTACATGAACTGTGAGAATGGGAAGCAAATTAGTTAGCTGGAGCGCGCCTGCCTCCCGTCCGAGTAGTTCATGCAGTAATAAATTACTGCAGTTATTACTATTTATGAGCAGGCGGCCGCGCCCCAAAGAATCCACCGAGTGGGACAATATTAATGTGACGGCGCGAATAAAGACAACGCTAGAGAGTTAAGCGCCGGATTTATGAATTCCGCATCCTTCATCGCGCCCGCAGAGTGTACGGGGGCATTAGCACATCGAGCATGATGATGCACATGCCGCGCCAAATTGGATTAATACCCGCAACAACACGACCCGCTCCTCCGACGCTCAGGGGAGAACGGGGGCTTTCAGGCTTACCTGCAACACACAAAGAGGGTTGGAATTAAATATTATGCAAGTCCGGCAGATTAGAAAAGAGAGGCCAAAGAGCATTTTTTCTTTTATTAATTTAAAGAAGCGGGGAGCAAAAACTTTTGCTTTCGAGGAAAGTTTAATTGCCTCGCTCTGTTTTTTTAAGCACTAAAAATCTAAAACCTGCGGCGCAGAGAAAGAGATTTTGCTCCGCTCGCGGCGGAGCATTTCAAATATTTGGAATATTTTGACAAGTGATTAATGTGCCTGCTGCTTCTTCAGGCCGCTCTTTGTCCGAGAGGTAATTAACTTTCTAAAACTTTTCTATATCACACTCTTCCTCTCTGTGCTAGCGAGAAGATCGATTCCTCTGACTGAATCAACATTTATTTCGAGTGCCGCTGAATCGCAGGCAGGTGCGAGTTTTTCCCTTTTCACCAGACGGCGAAACGGCGACGCAATGTGCTGCGCTCCACAAACACTTTCATCGCAATGAGAGAGACGCTGGCAGATAAAGTTGGTGCACTACTGCGCTCTTCTAATCAATTCAGTCACACTCCTTTAATTGCCTGCACGGGGAATTGTGCGAATGCGAGTTATCAGCACTATATATCGCGAGCCAAATGCACTTTCAGAGCAATTTGCGAAAGTGGAATTAGATCAATTTGCTTGTAGTGAAACTATTAATCAGCAACTTCTGCATCCACAGTTGGTTAAACTATTTTATTGGAGTTTGTTGATAATTAAATTAACATCAAATCGTGTTGCAGTAAATTTATATTCCCGACAAACTTTATTCTTTCCTCCGTAAACTCAATAATCAATGCGTACATTTTTATTATACCAAATTGGCACATCACTTCTGCGACTCTGCAATTACGTGGAAATAAGTGGTAAAATAATTTTGCAAGTACTTTTACGAAACAGCAATTGACTTCGATGACCATAATAATGTGCAATAAACTTTCTCAAGTGCGATTTGCATTTACAGCGAAATCAAGATAATTTTGGTGATTAGTTGTGTAACTAAATTTGGAGAGGTATTAGCCAAATTATAGACTATAATTTAAGTTCATAAATTTTGTGCGTTTAAAAAAAAAATATAAAAATTTAATACTTTATTATTTGCAGAAAACATTGAAAACTAATGATAATATGATTTCATAATTTAATGGATTGAGATTTTGTCCACTTGCGAGAAAATAAATTTAATGAATTTTATTTAATCTCGGAGGTTTTAGCAAAATTTTGCTACTGATGATGCCGTTTTGTCTTAAAAAATTGTTTTAAACAATTGAATGTAAACAATTAATCGTAACAATGTGGACAAATAAATAAGAATAATAATTTAAAAATTGAATGTGGACAAATAAACAATAATAATAATTTGAAATATTATTTAATTGAAAGTAAAAATTCCTTAGTCAAGCACAGAACCATATTAATTGAAAAAGCCCGATATCTTCATTTCCATGATCATCTCCTTGACTGTCAACTTCTTCAAACCATATTAATTGTTATAAAATTTATTACAAATTAAATCACATCATTGTGGATTCAGTTTTTTTTTTAAATATTTTTATAATTTATAAGCAATTTGTTTTCAACAATTGCGAGTGTAAACGGTGTATTTTGTAACAATGTGTACACATAAAGAATAATAATAAAAGCTACTTAAACATTTCTATAATTTGAGTGGCACCGCAAAAATTTAATTTTTTTTTTAACAAATGACGTATTTGCAAATTATTTTTTTTAACTTTTTTTGGTTGTAAATTATTCAATGGGGAAGTGTGAAGAAGAATAGTATCGATAAAATGATTCTGAAAGTAATTTTCGGTCACTTTTGAAAGAAAATCAATCGGAAGGGGCCAATACACTTTGTGCGGCGAAAATGGCTCTGCTCCATTATTGATATTCGCATACAATCCGGCGGAGGAGAAACGCGGTCCAATCAACGTGGACGACGGTCTTTGCCGAGAAGAAAATGCCCTTGAGTCATTCTTCTCGCCCATACGCCGAGAAGAATGCGCCGGGTGTACCACATATCTCCAATATGGCCACTTAACACCTAGCTCAAATCGGTGACATCAGGTGTGTTTCTCTTCTCGTGACCCCTGGCTGAGAGCGCGCGCGCTCCTCTACGTGGCCTACATGCGGTCCGTCGAATTTTATTCAGAAACAATATTTAATATGCAGATGACATGTTGACAATTCCCATTTGCATACAAGAGAGAGACAAGTGGCAAAGGGACAAGAGAGTGCCGGGGAAGGGACCAATTTGACCAAGTTTCACAAATTTGCATGGCAAACGACGCCTCCTCTCCGCAATTAGCACATGTAGCGCCGCCGAAGAGGAAGAAAGTGCATCCGAATTCTAATCGCTCTCTGTCTGGATAAAATCATCTAATTACACCGCAAGAGATCATTACTGATTATAATTTTTTTTTATTTTTTAAAGGCGGATATTTGCACTTTCTCTAAATCTCTACTCTTGTTGCTCTGTGACATATTATATTCAAATGAGCCGGCGATTATCCCAGCGCTTATCGGAACTTTCTTTGGTCACGTTCGCCGTTTGTTTGCAGCCGATGAACAAAGCCGAGGCGACACGACAAAGGAAGATACAATCATGCATGGCAAATTACCTTCGCCATCGTTTTATTTGCCGTTTTATAGCTTTCCTGCTTGACTTTTTTGCACAATTTCAACGCGATTTTATTTGGGGTCAGAGTTGCGAAACGCACAGAGCACCGCGACCGAATTTTAATATAAAAGTTGCGGCATTCCTCTCCGCTTGCAAAAGATAATTTACGACTCGAATTCAATAAGGTACTTTTTTATTGACTCACTGACGCAAATTTTGAAAAGCACACGATTCCGGCAGTGTGTGCCACTTTTGCTGCTCTTCTCGTAAAAATTATAATTGAAATA